AACCATATTCGCTCAATCCTCTATCGAGTATTGGAGCAAACGTTTTTTGTCCTTGTTACGGTTCCTTCCCTTCCCTTCCCTGAATACTCCGAAAATCAGACATGGAATCTCCGGCTGAATTGAAAACAACATCCACCTGCCACGTGGTGGCTCTGCCGTATCCCGGCAGAGGGCACATCAACCCCATGATGAACCTCTGCAGGCTACTGTGTTCCAAGAAACCCGATATCCTCATAACCTTCGTAGTCACTGAAGAGTGGTACGGCTTCATTGGCTCCGACAGCAAGCCGGCCAACGTCCGGTTCGTCACGATTCCCAACGTAATCCCATCTGAACTTGTTCGAGCCAACGACTTTGTTGGATTCCTCGAAGCTGTGAGCACCAAGATGGAAGCCCCATTTGAGCAGTTCCTCGATCGGCTTCAGCTTCCGGTAACTGCCATTTTGACTGACACCTACATGGGTTGGGTAGTTCGCGTAGGGAATCGGAGGAACATTCCGGTGGGTTCCCTTTGGACTATGTCGGCGTCGGTGCTGTCGGTTTTTCACCACTTCGATCTCCTCGTGAAAAACCAGCATTTTCCGGCAGACTTATCAGGTACCAAATTGCTTCATGGTATTCCTAGTTCTGTTGTTGTCTTGAGTTAGTGTGCTACCTGTTTGTGAAAATGCCCATGTGGGTAAGTAGCTGCCAAATACTTCTTATTTTTCTTTCCAGTGGGCGTTAGAAACAGATACATCTTAATTTCTGTTATCCTCACCGCACCAAGTGAAATTTGATCTGAGTTGCTTCCATTTTCATCTTTGTTGTGCATATTAATTAGAGCGTGGGGATGAGATTGTGGACTACATTCCTGGACTTCCTTCCACCACTCTAGCAAATTTGCCAACTTTTTTCCATGGAAAGGGCAGTCAGAGCTTGCACCTAGCTTTAGAACCTGTTTCGTTGCTGCCCAAATCACAATATCTTCTCTTCACTTCTGTCAACGAGCTTGAATCTCGAGTTATCGATGTTTTCAAGGCAGAATTTGATTTCCCTGTCTATGCAA